CTCTTTCCCAGAGATTTATCTTTTTTTATGACAACAGGCCCTTATACAAAATACAAAACCAACTGCAGATCTGAATGTAGCAGTTTCAAACAGAGAAGTATTTTGTGAACAACTCCTGCTAAAGGAATCTTTTGACAACAATAAAAATATTTGCATTCCTCTTCATGCACAAGGTGAATACAATAAAATCTGTCACCATATGTTGGAAAGGCCAGTTTCCATGTCTCAGTTCTCCCCTTACTCCTCCAAGAACATGTTCAAACAGGAATGACAAACCCTTCAGACTTGCATTGCAGGCCAAACAAGCTCACTGCTGGGTACAAAACCTCCTGCATCTTCCATTTTATTTACTGAACATTTTAATTAGTATTGGGTTTTGCCTAGAATTTTTGGCATATATACTACTTTAGAGGTAGAAGGAAGTTTTAACAGTTAGAGTCCTGCCTGCTCCAACAAGATGAAACTGGCACCATCTGGCAGGTAAAAGGTCTTGGCAAAATAATTGGGGGGAACATATAAATTAGATTTATTTTGCACTCTTGCCATCTCAGACTATAGAGACAGTGCAAAGAGAATAGCATCTAGGGGAGAAGAGACAGCTGAGAACTTACCTTTGCAGAGTATGGAGAAAGCTGTAGCGGAAGGGTAGTGATTACTAGCACCTAAGCTATGCCTTTATTAAGACTCTTCAAGATTGTGAGGGAACAGCCTGATTTAGCATCCGTCTTCAGTTGTTCTAACTACCTACAAGCTACTCGTGAGGCCTGGCATCGATTAGACCCAGGATCTTGATGGCTCGCTGTCCTAAGAGATTAACAGAATTTTGTTGCGGTGATGCACAACAGTGTGGTGCCATGTAATCATTGCAATTAAAGCACTATATTTTTAGACTTCAGTAGAGTGAAAACTCTTGTTAATACTGAGGAGACAAGAAGGTACAAATGCATGGAGGAACAAGTTAACAGCAATGAACAGTTTGGGGGGAAAAAAAGGAATGGAAAAGCATGAAGAACATATACAAAAGTGTTTTCATCACTATCTCCAAAAGTAGAAATATAAGGGACAAGGGATAGGCACTGAAAACAATTAAAAGTGACAGAAGATGATGACTCTCCATATGGAGAGATGGGAAATCCTGTGAGTGCATAGTCCTGAAGAAAGGCATAAAAAAATTGCTCCAAAGGAAAAATAATCCAAGTATACTTAATAACCCTTTAGCAAGCCATTTTAAATACAAGGGAAAAATCTTCTTCCCAGATGTGTAATCTGTCAAAATCCCTGCCACAGATATCACAAAGGCTAAGAGTTTAATAGGATTCTACAAAAGAGTATCATAAACGCAGACACTGCAAACAGTCACCATTATCTTTAAGCAAAGGTAAATAATGATAAGGCATGCACATCTTCATTTCTCAGAGCTTAAATCAACACCCAGGTGACAGCAAATCTTGCACTTGAAATACTTTTCACTGTGCAAGAGAGAGCAGCGCAGACGTCTCCCAGCAAGCACTGATCTGTGCTGGCCTGCCTGATGGCCAGGGCACACCAGTACAGAAAAACCAAGGCCGAAGCAGTTCTCAGCTATGCATATGGAGGAGGGTTTACACCCTGAAACGCCAGGCGGCAACACTGCTCCCAGGCTTGGATCTAGTTCAGTCAATTGAACTTGTCTGATCCCAGCCACAGTCTATGAATCCCTGGTAAAGATGTACATGGTGACACTGAGGCCTTCAACAACTATTTGTGAATTCAGCTTTGCATTCATCTCTGAAGTTGCTGATATTGACCATTGCCAAAGAAAAGATCATTTGAGCACCTATTAGTCACTTGACATTACAGTGTTAGTAAAATCCCAAGAGTAGATGCAGTAAGTATTTCTGTGAATGCACAGATCTAAGCAAAGAACCATCACCTGCCTTGTAGGAAACGTTATCTTTGCAGAAAAGTTTGCAATTTCCTGTGCATGAGTCCGACTGACTGTCTCTGGGCCCAGTTCCTTCCTATATGCACACACCCATACATAGTATAGACCCACTGCTTTAATTCCACTAAAAAGCTGCCAAGGAACTTCAATTTGAAGCCAAATATCAGACACAGTCAGAAATTGCAAACATTACCCTTCTGAAACCAAATCAGGCAACTATAGCCCCAAAACTTAGTCTGAGAGACGTTCAAAAAAAATATACTGAGGAAAAGGTTAATAAATACTGAACAGCAAGAAATGTTAGAACAAGGAGATGGTTGGGAAGGAGGAGTCTAAAATGTAGTTTTGAAAGCACTGATCTTATACGGCCAGATTGTGTGTAGACACATTCTGGGCAGGTTTGAAAGCCTTCTAGTATGCTTATCTACTCAAGCACAAGGTAGCAGGAACATCCAGCTACTTCACTCTGACTTAGCTGGGGTCTCTCTACCCCTGTGTTCAAAGGAATATTCTTGGTTGTTTGTCTGCATCTAAAACTGGTTAATTACTGTGTAAAACTCCTGAACTGCAGGATGCTTCTCTCAAGAACAAGCTCCCGCGCCTGTAAAATGGCACCTTGCAGGTAACAAAGACAGAAACACAATGTTCTGCTTAGACAAAATCATGACAAAATAGCAAGAGCTGAGAGAAGGCAAGAGACCTAGAGACTAGAAGCAGCAGCCCTAAACATGATCTCAAAGGAAAACAGTCATCTACCTGAAACTTGTACAGAACTTACATCACCTTTCCAAAGTGGCCCAATTGTCTTTCTAAAGCTATTTCTCTGTTTCATTTGTGCAGCCTGGCCAAGTTAAACTTTGGTTTAAACTAAACTATGTGCACAGGCTTTGCCGTTTCAGTACCTGTCACCCTCAGAGGAGGGTTTTTTCTTACATTCCAGAAGTCCTAATTTTTACAATAATGCTTCTTTGTAGTTTCTATGGATTTGCAAACACATACAAACTGGATAGTTTTAGTCCTTCCGGTACAGACTTATTACTTGGGTTGGTAAAAGCAGAAGGGATCTTCTGCTCTTACAACCTTTGTATGTTACACAGGAAATTATGCCACCCATGAAACTGGGTCTTATTCCGTAATTATTTTTCACTCTGTCAGAATTATCTAAAGATATATATACACACACATATAGTCACATCAAGGCATTTTCAAAGAGATAAAACATAAACCCATAGTTTTGTACAGTTTCTTAGATTTGTAAACTGAGGAAAAAAGAGAAGCAAGCGTATGTCAGCTCTTCCATCTTACCATGAAGTAGGGATGGTAGGTTCACAGGTGCCAGTGGCAGCTTTTAGACTTTCCAAAGCTGCTTCCCTGTGACAATAAACCAGACTAAGAGTACAACAATTTCATCACATTTCAATGACAAATGCATCAAACCAAAACTGTTGAACCAAGCTGAAGAGAGATAATTTCTCCAGAAAATCTGAATTATCACTTTTTTTCTCTTCCAAATGATATTAATACAACTGAGAAAACTTTTAATAATTATACAAAGTTTTCATTTTACATTACCTGGTTGAATAATTCCAGTAACAACAGAGAGATATTCCTCAGGTTCCTGATCAGTGGAAATCTCTTTGCTGCCTCCATCTAAGGTCAGGATCTCATAAAGAATCTCTGAATTCTCCACCCCACAAAGCAGAATCACCACATTATCTGCAGGTTTTAGAACTTGCTCCAGAAAATAACTTCTCTTTCGATTCAGGGAGTTAAGAAGTCCACACGATAGTATCAGGAGTTTACATTTATAACAGGGTAAAGAGAATAGTTCATGGTGTTTGAAAGATGAAGTCTCTAGATTGTAGAGTAAGATTCCTCCTTCATTCACTATGTGTCCAAAAAGAGATTTTAAATACAGAGCCCACTCTTCTGCTTCTTGTTCATATATCACGAGAATATCCTTCGTATTTTCTAGGAAGAAGAAAACATTTTAAAAAAATAATTTCAAATGCATTCTGAATCCATCATAAATATCAGAAGACAGATCGTTAATTTTCCCCCCTCTTAAAAACTTCAGGTTCTGAAGAAACAGGTCAGGTCATCACCTTGAAATGACAACCATCTGCTTATTTCTAGACCAAAACAGAAAGATCATCCACAGAAATGCTGGTAAAATATCTCAGAATATTCTACGTTTAGAATAGCTTCAACTAGTATTTCAGAATAGATACTGAAATTGAGTGTGGAAAGCAGAATGCATTCACACATTCTGCTTACTCCTAGATTCTTGACAAATAGGTGATACTATTAAAAATACAGTAGTTAGTTTTTAATGGCAGAAGTAAAGAACATATATTTGAACACCGGACATGATCTGACTTCATTAGAAATAGGATTAGGATGTTTAGGATATTTTGGCAACATGGTATTAGGACAGTCATTAGAGATCTTTCTTTACTGTCCTTATTCTAAAGAAATTACTTACAAACCTGACAGAAATAAATCTAGAGCTACATTTTTTTAGTTCTGCTTTCCCTCTAAGATGTAAAACATGATGCTAGTCAGAAGACTAATACTCTTCCACAGTGTTACTAGGGTGACAGTATGAAACTGTGATGGGTTGACCCTGGCTGAGGG